TTACACAATGGTCAGATGTACCATCTGTTTAATACGATTACCTTAATTTTGGACTTGTGTACTTCAAACGTATTCTTTAACTACTCACTTAGTAGTATACACCCGTTCATAGTCAGACATCACAACAAACTTATAGAATCTACTACACATTCTCTGTTGCACCACTGTTTTCTAATGCATTCGATATTTATTACAAACAAACAAATGGACACAATAATTCATTCCATTTTAATTTTGATCCCCGGAGCCTCAGTTTCATATCAGTTGGTCAAACTACACCCCATCCTCCAATAAAGTAAATGTTCATTTACATAACATCACTATTTTCCTACGTCAATTATGAAACAAGTGGTATACATCCGTGGTTTGCCCACCAGAACACGAGATAAGTGCAACGACACATGGCCGTTCCAGTGTGTTCGGTGTATTTTTCCGATAACGTGGCATTCCGTGAAAACTTTGCCAATCAGTCGTACCCACGCGACAGCCAGAAATGTCGCCGGAGCGTCGGGATTGATCGTGTCAATTAACGCTCCGCGACGTGCTAGAAAGTTCACAAACGAGTACAATTAATGGAGGCATCGAGTTTGTACCGGGACGGTCAAGTGAGTCGGTGTGTTACGTCGCTGAGGGTGATTTGCAACCCCCCTCCCGCCGATGGATCACGGATTTTCTCCGATCGTAAACGTGACACGCGAGCTTCGCTAATAACTCGCGAAGTTCTGTCGTACACGAGCCGGTACGAACGATCGTGGGCGACACGTGTCGCTGACAAATAGAGAAAGCTACCCGTGCTTTAATCAGCGCGACTCATGTTCGGCTCAAGTACGACGATCGATTCTCGACTGATTCGTTTTCCAAGAGCGGGACTCACGTCTCCGTCGAACGATCGCGTCATCTTCCCAGACGATCCGTCTCTGGTGCGCACGCTAATGAAATTCCTGTCCACGTTTTTCATGCGAACCGTCGACGAAAATTCGATCCCTCCCAGCCTCGCGCGAACACCCCCAACGCTCGCTCGTAAATCTGTCCGCATGACGTCTCGTGATTGCTCGACGCTTTCGTCGCGTTCAAAGGTACAACTCGGTTGACACAACCGTACAGGGTCTCTATGTCGATGGTTTTACCGTGAACGTTACGACCTCTGATAAATCGAACACTGCCCCCCTCCCGGTTAATGTTTGTTAATTGCGTCACTCGGGTGCACTTAATGGAGTAGCGAATGGATGGTGGATACTAATTACTTGGGAGTGATTTATTGTTTTGACGTTTATTGTCCCGACATCGGTTATTTGGGTATTTGCATCGTAAGCAGACAATTGTATATTTCTGATAGTTTAACACGTTAACTGCCACAGTGAAAAAGGTCGTATGTAGCCAGACACGCTTATTCGTTTAGTTAATAGATGCTTTTGGTCTTGTTTTAAATTGTTCTCAAATATTAATTATACACAAAAATTTTGTAACGGTACTTAAATAATCCAGCCACTTTGCAACGTACGTGTCACTCATATTTGGATGACATGGCAATCAAAATGTTAATCAGCGCTGGGTGATGTAATAATGCTGTGTTCTGGGAATTGGTAATATCGATATGGAGAGATTAATGTGAGAAATCAGGTCGGTCGGGTTATTTGTTCACGTAGAAGAATGTGCGCTCCGGTGGGAACGAAAGAAGCCTTGTGTGGCCCCTAAATCACACGCGTTTATTAGCGAAGAAAGACGACCGGCGCGCAATTCTTTTCCATTACCGTTTATAAAGGCGAGGCGCGGTTTCCGGTCAATAACAATGTATCACACGGAGATCGAATTATCACACTCTGGAGGGACGGCGCAGGGTTTCACGATTTAAACGCGTCGGCGGTCATTCGATTCACGTAGAACCGGATCGAAAGGTAATCACGGACCCGTTTCTCGAAAAAGGTGCAGAGTTCTTTGCTACGTCGATGTCAATTCGATACGTGCGCGAAGTAACTCAATTTCCATCGAATACGGTCTCGGACTACTTTTACAGGCTCCAGTCTGACCGATACGGAAATGTCGTTGACTTTCAAGAACACGACTAGGAATTACGTTACAATCACTCGCACGATACGATTACAAGAAATGAAAACACGTGTTTGTTTTAGGGAAACTTGAAGAAAGCGAAAAATATTGTATGGTGTTGGGTCCTATCTGACTTTAGTTTGTAGTATTAATATCATAAAATCAGCAGTGTAATTTTGTGGCTGAATATAATTTGCAAATATGGTGGTATACAAGAAATTTGGCTGAAGGTTGTTACTGTGGATACTGTTTGTCTACTGTGCTACAAGTAGTTTGCATATACTGTTGGTCGGACGATATAGAAAATGTTCAAAATATGAGAACTCGTGTTACGCTCTACCTAAGTACACTTACTTGTAACCTAATGTGATTAATTTTCATGTTGAAATAATGGTACTATGATTGGGAGGCTATACAAAGCGTTTGACACATGATAGTCTTATATTAAAAACTACTTAAACTAATTTTCTTATTAATGAGTTTATCTTTCAGGTCAATTTCCGTAATTGAATTGTCTGGTTTATAAGCTAGTAGTATAAGGGCCTAAATGATCAGACACAAGAAATCTATACAAAGGAAACATACCTACACTAATGTCTACCTGGATGTTACTGATTGCAATCTAACGTAGTTCAAATCAATTTAATATTATAAACAACACTAGTTGCCATCTTGCTTTGCAGTAATTCTAAAATAAAGGAACTGAAATCAATACAGTATACTTCTACAAAATTTGACATCACACTTTACTGTTCTCCCAATCATCTCAATATTTCCATGTCATTCAATTATTAATGCTTTCACTTACATTGATATTGTTGACATTATAGTACGACAACCAAGTAGAATATGAAATCGACAAGTCGGTCGATCGTCACAAACACCAAAATTGTCGATTTAATAAAAGCAACTGTTTTCCGGATGTTTTTATCGAATACATATGGCAATTCGAATCCTCAATGATAACAATTAACCAATATTCACTACCTTGATTGTTAAGAATTTACTGTTCTTGTGGTTATTAACATTAAATAAATAAATTATGAACACGAAGAGCCCCGGAGTCACAACAATGTGTACAACCGCTGACATCTATGATCTATTATTTAAAATCACTTTATACTAGATTATGCCCTCTTCGCCAAGCCCGTGCAGTCATCCCGCTATTAATATCAATCACACTTATACGATTCAGTTACCTCCGTAGAATTGCTCCGCTGCTCAAAACTTGGCACCGATTCTCAATGACGTTTCGGGGATGACCGTAGAGGAGACATAAACCGTTCTGTCGTTTATATAACTGCACGGGGCTCCTTTGGAGGACACTCACGGGCCGCGCGGAGATACGACGGAATAATTCAAGTCACAAACATCGCGGTTGGATGCGCGGATCAACGGCGAGGGAGCCGGAGGAGGAGGTTGGGTCAGGATAGGCGACAAAGTGGTGGTGTGTAGGAAGTGGGTGTGCTGGTGAAGACTCTCCTTTGCAGTTGGTTGTCGTCAGTAGCAGACTGTACTCTAATTAACGGTGGGTAACAAGAGTACCCGAGAGGAACGGAGAGTCTCGGTTCTAATAATTCGCGCGCTGCGAGATGAACGAATCCGCGCGCCCGCGTATCAGAGAAAGAGGTCTCTGAGGGTGAGATATTTCTATGCGGGTAGGAGAAACGGGTGGCACGAGTAAGACGTTTCTGGTCTCTGTATCGACCTTGGCCGGAGGGGTTCAGTTTAAATGTTTTTAATTAATTAATGAGAAAAAGATTCGACTGCCTCAGCCGGGTTCCCAAGCCGGTATGGGGTCTTCATCAACTTTAAAGTGAATTTCCAGATTCTAGAATTCTCTTTTAAGGTCACCTTTGAACAGGTTCAAAATAAATGTTTCTTTGTGAAATGATATCGTTTGCGGAACGGTGATGGACAGAAGGGTGTTCAAAGAACGAGCGCGATTAAAGCGAGAACAACTTGATAAAGGGAAAGTACAATAAGACATGCTTTGTACAAAATAATTCAGAAAGGATATAGTTATACGGTTGCTATTGTGTAAAGTTCGTTTGAGAGTCGAACTTCTTTCAAAAATTTGGCGAACATATTCAAAAGCTACTGTGCCTTTAGTCTGTGTAATAGCTCAAAGGATATGCATTATATGTTTGATAAGAACAGACGATTCTTCATTTCTCAAAGAAGGCTTTCTAGTGGTTATCTGATTAATAGATGAGTAGCTGTTAATGAGAAACAGTTATACTAACGTGATAAATAAAAATCAATCACAACGAATGTTCTGCAGGTAAGAATATAAACATTAACCTCTCTTTTAATAGCCACATGTTCTATAGGGACTTTGTTGGGTCGCGATTAATATATTCTGTTAGGAATGGTTGAGTCTCGGCAAACGAACGGGATCGATCGTTGACCTAGTTAAATTTAATGAATGAAATAAAATAAAATGAATGAAACCAATTCGTGGAACAGTTGAAGAGCGTGCCCCTAAAGGAGAAAAACTCTTCACACGACAGACGTATTGTACCCGTATTTCACCCGCATTTTCAACAATTAAAATAACTCGTAAATGAAGCCTCAAGTTCAATCCCCTTATTCTTGTCCTTATCTTACTTTGACATATAATATCAACCCTGTGAAAGTGTCCCACATTTTTATAAACACTCTACATGTAAACGCAATTTACGCGCAAGCCAGTAGAATAAGACTACCATGATCAGACAAGGAACTACAATATCATTTTCATACAATATTACTAGTTTAAGCTATTCTAGCTGACACTTAACATCTATATACCCTGCATAGACACACCTGCTGTACCACAAAGAACACTTCGTAACAGGACAAAATAAACGGACTAGTTGCCCATTTGTAACGTTCTCTACGACTCGAGATACCGTTCACGTTTCCATGATATACGCCACGTAAGGAGCTTAACACGAAGAAAAGGTACTCACTGTGATTCCCCAAGTAGATCGGTGTCCATGTGGCCTGCGAGTGAACGGGCGTCGTGGCCACGAATAGAACAGCGCCGAACCACACACTCAAACGCGTCGCACTCATTTCACCAACAGCCCCGACAAACGCCATTTCCCTCGTTTCAATCAGTTCTCTGCCTTAATATCATCTTCACCGGCGTTTTACCCGCCACTGTCGTCGTCCCGTTCTCCTCGCGCGCACACCGTGCCCTTGCGAAATCTTCGACTCTACGCTATCCTCTATTCCCGCGAAAATATTCAACCACGCCAGTCAGTGACCTGTCACGACCGAAAGATATTCCCGTAGACTGTACACGACTGTATATCCTCCGATAATTCAATCGAGCCGTTCCAACCCGTTCGCGTCCCACTTCTCTCCGAACGGGATTTCAAACGTTCACGCGTAAGACCTGAATAGGACCCCTTTATACGCGATACAAGAGGGGAATCAGACGGATTGTTCATAAACAATTAACTCCGCAAGAAGCAACCTGCCGCGAGATAATTTCCATGCACCCCCCCCCCCCTACGGTATACACAGATAGCATTAATGACCCGTGAACGAGCATCTGTTTTCATTCGTTCGAAGTTAAATGATCCGAATTATTATCGGATTCTCGCGACGAGGGATGAAACTTTTAAATTAGCGTCAATTTAGTTCCATCTCGTTTTTTTTGTATTATATATCCCGATATATAAGATATCCAAAGATCGGTCGTTTATTTCGCGAAGTATTTATACTTTAGTCAGTTTTTGGTTATTCCGTACATTTGATAAACTAATTTGTTTTTTTATACACTGGCAAACAACGAGACACGGTATCGTCTTTCATTACGGGGATTCGCGAAGACGAGTGTTTTATTTCACGAGCTATACCGTGGATCTTTCTGAGCAGGCTAGATCTCGATGCAATCCGTTTGCCACAGTGATCGTTGCAGTGGCCTTGTAACTGAGTCAAATCTTACGTCGATCTTCCTCGACCCTTCGTCGGCTGGAACAAATTGTTACCACTAGTCCAGGCGTAGTCTGTAACAAAGTAAGATACAAATACGTCAGAGAAGTCCCTTTAACCTTCGATTGTTAAGAAATAAGGCATGGATGAGCTTGAAGAATAAGAAAGTTAACAAGGTTTGAAAAGGCGAATAAGCTTTCCCAACGCTGAAATATACTGAAAAAATGCATACTCAGTTCAAATAAATATTATTGCTTAAATTCAATAACAAATACTATGTATGAAACACATAGTTTCGAAAACTCTTCCCCTATAGAGAATCTCTAACCGATTACGGTTTATGGCCCATTTCGGTTAGAATATTTGCTTGCAGCTCTTGATAATTAAAATTTACACCTGACGTGGGATTTCTGCAACGAGAATTAAACAAAGAACCTAGTTAATTGCTTAAATTGGTTTAAATGCCTAGCAGTGTGAGCTCCCTGCAATAAACCGTAGCCCTTTAAGCAGTCTTCATGGTAACGCGACAATAGGTCGTTCTCGTGCTGTTCACAAAACGCAGTGTCTATTTCTACACTCAGAAAGTAGCAAGATGTCGACGGCCAATAGAATTGAGCTTACAGTAAGAACCTCTGCTTTAAGCTAAAATTTATTTCCCACTGTCTTACAATAATTAAACTTATAATATAATTATAGTTGTTACCCGATAACTCCACTAAGTACTACATGCTACGTTATTCCCCTCGTAGTGTGTGTATTCTTCTCATGAATGGATTTTTTTATTGTGAACTCTATCCTGAAATAACATATGTTATCGTCTAGAACCTTTAGACCAAAAAGTTAACACTATTCTTAATCCTCGAAAACTCCATTCAAGAGGGCCGTGAACTCTTAAAAACTAGACGGTATTCTAAAGAATCCGAAGGGAAAAAACTTAAAGATTTCAGTCTCGTACACAAGAACAAACCATCAAGATCTTGTCGTAATCTTTGCGTCTTCTCTTCGAGGCAACAGAAAATATATTTTGAGATTCTATGTTTTCGTACTATCTCTCTGCAATCACTAGTATCTATTCACTAATCATCCTTGTAACCTACTCGTTCTAAATCCTATAAGAGTCGTTCACGTCTTCATCCCCCGGAAAATGTCGTCGATGTCTCGTTAGCGTATCTCCATCGGTAGGAACGACACGTAAGCAGTGCATCACCGATTCTTGCTACCATTCCACCACGGTGACCGTGATGTTATCTGTGCCGAGCGGACGGTCATTACGAGATAGAGGGTAGCAGTAGCTTAGCCGTTCATAATGTGACAAGCCGTAGTCGAGTCCACCACTCCGCCCTATCTTGTTATTTACTCGTTATCTCTCTCTGCATTCGAGCCGACGTTACCTCGCCGTGCAGTTATGAAAGGCTTTCGCTGCTCTAGACAGCTCTCCCGGCGAGAGGAACTGGTTCAGCGTCTCTGCTGATCGCTTCCTTCGCTCTCTGCTCCTTCATCCACTTATCGTCCTGTCCGCCCATTCGCTTCCCCTATCTACTTAGCCGTGATCGAGCTCTCGTGTCGCGACTCCGGTGTATTTTCTCTGGGCGATATGCCTCGTTCTATGGTACGATTAAAGGCTCCCACGGATCCATTCCTCTGTTACACGGCGAATGATTGATAGAAGTGCGACTTAAGAAGCGTCCAGTGGATCTCACAGGCGGGAACGTATTGTTGGCCCAGAAGATATTGTTTATTAATGACCGTTCCTCCAACTATTCTCTTCGATCAAAGAGTACAGGCAATCCCGTACGATAGATACTCTTGGTCGTCTAGGTTCCATTAACCTCTTGCAAGGGTTATTCTTTAGGTCAGTCGAGCGTGCCCGTTCCGGATCCAATGGTCCAATTACAGGTCGCCACGTCTATTGGAGCTACGGACCGTTCCACGGTCTGGCCAAGTGTCTCTTTATAGAAGGAAGATTCCTTTCTTTAACTTTCCTCTCCTTTTTCCGTCCGTGAAAGGAGGGGTGGGGGGTGGAACTTCATCGAAGGCAGCCGCGGTGGAACGAGCCCATTGAAAAGGCGCCAATGCAGTTAACTTAATCCAGGTGCTGATTGGACACGCTAACCGAGAACGGCGAAATGCAGCTGCCGGCGTGGAAACGGAAGGAAAGGTAAAGAGGATGCCCGGTTGTCGGGAGAGGTCTGCGGAGTAGTGACCTTAATTGTGCCACGCAATTATGGCCACTTCCGTTTGATAGGAGTAACGCGCCATTCAAAAAAGGAACGGCCCGGTAAAACCAAGCGGAATCTGTGGTTATGTGAACGTCAGCTGCACAACGGGCCAGGTCCACATTTCTGCCTCTCTCTGTTTCTCTTTCTCTCTCTCTTCCGCTGAATAAAAAACTACCGACACTCTTTTTCCGCTATAATGTTCTTCGTCTACTGGAGCTTCTCTTTCGTCTGGAGGATTCAAAGTGTGGCCAGGTATCGCGTACTACTAGACGAAAATAAAGGAACCATCCGAAACATCTTCCATTTACGTTCACGGGGGGAAAAAAGAACGTGTAATTCGATGCTCCGGCTGCACTTGGATAAGGTTGCCACACGTAAGACAGAGGCCGAACAGCGGAAGTGGTAAACAACGTTTCCAGAGGAGAGAAGATAATTAACTCGGTTCCGTACAACTTTTTAAATCGCGTTACATTCTGAGTTTCTTCGCTATTTTCATTATTACGTTCCTGCTGCTACGGTTCGCACTGGCTAATTTGTGTTACGGACGGATGGTGCGTTTTTTACAAGTATTTGGGAGGATAAAAAATACGGGAAAGAATTGTCGTATTTCTTTGATTGAACTGAGCCTATACAAAGAAGCTAATAAGACTTTTTTCAATTAACTGCGTTTTCAGGTGGGAATACACAAGTTTTTAAGGAAGGTACCGATGGTAATTTTTACTTCTTCGTTTCTAAGCTGTTGATTTTCTTCACGAAGCGAAAAGGAATTGTAAAGAGGAAGGCTATGAAGTTTGCATGCAGATAATAAATCAATTATGAAGATTGTATGGTATCAGACATCCTGGGCACGAGGATACTGAATATTTTTTTAGGATCCACGTAAATAGATGCACTTTCATTCAGGTATGTTGAAGGTCACACGTTATGAGTGATTGAAAGGCTTGACCGCGTTGCATTCCATTCAATTAGCAGCCAAACCCGTTTTGCAAATTGCACTCGGCCATCAGACAAGCGACGGACCGTTGTAATTATTAATCGAGTCAGGCATCAATTAGCCGGAATATCGATTAATTGCACATCACAGATGTCTTGGCAGATACACCGCCACTGTCTCGATTGTCCATGGCCTCCGATGACGATGCATTTCAACGTTCGATTAATCGGCCGTCAATGTCTAGATTGTCAGAACATGTACCATCAGTCTCCCAGAATCGGAATTTTGTTTATTTCATTTTTTTACGTAAAGTCCTATTTTTTCTGAAGATAAAGACGCAATTTCTTTAATATGTTCTCAAATACGACCCATACTATGCCTAACCATTACTCGTTCTTTCTACTAGCATTTCCAAAATTCTCCACTAGGTTCTGATAGTGAAATAAAAAGACTCGTCCCTGAGACGAATGGTCTGTAGTTAACGTTTAAGTTGTATTGAACTACTCCCGACAGTTATGAATACAATTAGCATTGAAAATGTTTATAACCATTCTGATAAGTAGAAGGAACTCGTAATTGACAGATATCCGGAGGAGTTGAAATTCCAAAGTAAAAGAAAAAGAAAAATAACTTTATTGTGAGTACTCAGCCACGTGTTTTAATGAACTAACAACAGATTTCAAATTCCAGCCCCTTTCTTCTAATAAAAAATAACGGAGGGTGCTTACAAATGAGGACAAATAGCACTGAAACAGCAGATCCTCAATTTTTTAACAAAAATAGAGGATTATTTATTGGTAGAACTAACGATATCATTTTCCTCACTATTACACCACCACTCGCGAACATCGTGTATAATACTACAATCCTAAAATCTCATGCTGGGTAAATTCTATCCAAAACATCTTTTATTACTAACAAGAGAGCTCAATAGAAGGAAACTAGCCCCAGGAACTCACGTCCTTTATTTAAAGGTCGGTTGGTCTAAAAATCTCGTTTGTCAAACG